AACAGGGTATATATTAAATTGATGTTATCACAACATTGTTTACTCTGGAAATTATAAGGGCGTAATAATTTTTAGCTACTTTTCTGGGCTGTTTACAGCCAGTCAATAACTCAAGCATCTGGGCATCATCTGGGTAAACTGTGGGTAAGATCTGGAGCCCTGCCTCCAGCTGGCAGAGGCATGCTCCGCCTGCCAGGCAGCCACGGCGGCGGACCCTGGATTCTGATCACCAGGTGCCCTGGTCTTTGCCATCAGAAACAGCACCTGTTTCCAGCTGGTTAAATTCTGCACAAAGGGCTCCCTTCTATATTCACAGTGATTTAGTTACAAATACAGTGAAGACAACGTATTATGAGATTATCTCACTTGGGATGTATTCTCCAAGCGAGGGCTCCATTACTGGGAAGAGACCACTGTCCTTGTAACTGTTTAACAACCAGACCCTGACAAATGAAATCCTGCGTCACACTGTCTTGGTTTATAATTCTGCAGATGCTTCTTTTATTTATGTGAAGAATTATTCCGAAAGGTGCATTGGACAGATCATCTAGGCAACAAATCAACAGAGTAACCATTACTCTTTCAGAAGGAGAGAAGAAATCTAGGGTGATTAGAGGGGAGAGAAGGGAGGGACATAGGGACGGGGAGAGATTGGAAAAGAGGCATAAAGAATAAGTATGATTTGTAACAATATATACACTAGTAATATTGATTTGATCAACATATGTCAACATTGAATCCCAAAAATATGTATAATCAAATATGATTCAATAAAAAAAATTATTCTGAAAGGCACATCATCAGCATCTAACGCACCATTTTAATTCTGTGTAACTCCTCACCTTATATAGAAGTGTCCTTGAGAAGTTATAAATAAGGCAAAATGTTGCTAAATAGAAAGACATTCCAGAGCTCAAATGGTGCTTGTTATTTAAGGGAATAATTTATAAAAACTGTATGCAACCTCTTTCTCCCTCGTTTTTACTGTTTTGTGAATTCAGGTTTTCAAACATGGATTTCTGAGAGCAGGGCAGCACTGCACTGAGACGGTATAGATTCTATAGCATTGCTAACACCGGCCCATTAACAACTCACACAGCTCCTACGCAGATCCTGCATCCCCTGTTGCACAACTAGATTTCCAGCTTCAGATTCATTACCAAGGAGAGGTTCTGAGCCCAGAGATGCTCCAGTTATCCACGTGTATTTCTTCGGTTTTCTTTTTATGACCCTAAGCCAAGTTTTAAAAGTTCAGGATTATGCACTCACTGTGTTTACAGTACAGGATTTCTATCTCTTTCTACCCCATAATGTGGGTAATTAAGAGTTAACTATACAGGGCCGGCCCGGTGGCGCACTGGATAGTGCACCGCTTGGGAAGTGTGGCGGCGCTCCCGCCCGAGGGTTCGGATCCCACATACAGACCGGTTCCCGCTCACTGGCTGAGCGAGGCACGGGAGCAACACCGAGGGTTGCAATCCCGTTGCCGGTCCCTGGTCAGGTACGGGGGCAACACTGAGGGTTGCAATCCGTTGCCGGACACGGAAAAAGACAAAAGACAAAAAAAAAAAAAGAGTTAACTATACAAATAAATCCTTGGTGAGAAAAAGCATTCTAAAAGTTGGAATCTCCTAAAGTATGATCTACATAGAATTCCCAAACAAATAACACCGATCATAATTGGTTTGGCTGGTACTGAGTAATAAAAATCCTTACCATAGAACGATTTAAAATCTGGTTGGATTTGGAGGAAAAAAACACTAAAACTGTGGCCTTTTTTTGTTGTTGTTGCAGGTAAACATGACTGTGAAAACGGTAGAATTTCCACTAATAAAGTCAGAATTGGAAGCAATCGATGTCAGATTATTGCACGCTGAAACGACATTGTTCTGGAACGGCGAAGGTACCAAGGTTCATTCCACCTTGGATTGAGCTTGGGGGTCCCACCTGCCCAGCCTCTGTCCTCAAACACCCCTGGAGCAGCCACTTCTGCCTCCTTGCTTCCTGGATCTGGTTTACCTGCAGCAGGGTTGTGTGTAGAGCTGCGGGAGAGTCCTCCCTGCTTGCCCAGTCCAAGAAGAGTCCATTTGCATCACCTGCAAATGGAATCAGGCAAAGACTCCCTGGGCACTTCCAAGGGTTCCAAAGTTTCCAAACTGGGCCTGCCAGTGGTTGTGTGGCTGAGTGCACACAGCAGTGAGCTCGGCAAACGTACGTCTCAGCTGGCTCAGGGCAGATGTTGGGAAAGTAGAAAGACATGTAGCTGCGAGTCCCTGTCCTCCCCTCATTCTACCACCCGACCGGGCAGAAGACCCCCAACCGCCCCCATCCCCTGGTTCCACCTCTGATGTTCCCACGGGCACCCCACTGTTGCTCCCCTTTCCTCGAGACCTTCCGACTTGCCTTCTGCCACCATTTCAGTCCCCCTCTTCCATGTCCCGTCTCAACTAGAAGGTGGCACCAAATGTCACCATCCACTTCCCTGAAATTGGGGTTTGTCTGGACTTTTCTGTGCAAAGCCATGTTTCTTTCCTCTCACGTCTGCCTAAGAACACACCACTTTTCCAGCAGCTGCAGGCCCCTGACAGCTTTGTAAAGAAGCTCTAGTCTCTCTGGTGTTCTGATCGTGGCTGGAGGGGGCTGGGGCTCACGGAGGCAGAGGCCCTTTAATATCAGGAGTCTGGGGCTCCTGAGCGGAGTGAAGGCATTACGCCTCGGCACTTCATTCCAGGGAATCCTCAGTGATTTCTTCTGCTTCATGTTGTGGAACAGGAGAAAGATCTTCTAAGAGCTGTCTCGTAATAACGGGTGTCCAGCCAGCCCAAGAAAAGTCTGCGTCTTGCCGAATCGTTCACTCCTTTACACTTGCATTTTAGGTGTGTTTCAGTACATTCAAGAGATGCGAGAAATTCTACATAACTTGCAGAACAGGATGCAAAAAGCAAAGCAAAATATAGAAGGAATTTCCCAGGCCATGAAGGTAAGCAGGTTGCAGAGCACAGAGCAGGGCTTCGTGGTGGCCCCTGGTATGTCCTGGGGCAAATGGGGCCACACAGAGAGGCCCATGGAAAATTCTGCCTTGTGGCAGAAGGCAGGGGGAACCTGTCATTCAGTGCTCTGGACCAGTACCACGATGTCAGAGTGGCCCAAGGCAGAAAGAGCCTGGTCACTGTAGAATCCAGTTCTGTTCCATTCTGTTGAGCTCAGTAGATGTGTGTGGGGGGCCCTGTCTGTGCCAGGCCAGCACCGGGAACACGGTGGGGATTTGCTCAGACTCAGCCTTGCCAGGGCTAAGCCCATTGCTCAGTGCAGAAGCAGCGTGGTTCCTCTAACCCACGCTCATTCCAGAACACGGTGGGAAGTCCTTCACTGCCTTCCCACGGCCTGTCACCAATGCCCTAGTTTGCAAAAACACTTGCAGCAATATATCTAAAAGGGTGTTTTTTAAAATTCCCCCTCCTGTTAATTTGCAATGTCTACTACATAGCTCTATTTTATTTTTTAAAATATTGTGTTTAAGCTATATTTCCTATCAACATATCAAAATTAAATGCCCCACAACTCTGCTGTTTTACTGTTTACTGCTCGGCTACAGCCCCCGACTAGGACGGGACTTCCGATTATGCAGCCTTCACCCCCCACCCCCAACAGCAACACAAACCCCTGGTTGAAATCATTTAGAATTTCTGACCCAGGCTGTTATTAATGTTTTCACTGGAAAAGGTCTCTCCTATCTCAAGAATCCTTTGGCTTGCCGCACTGCGAAGCTGCTTTTCTGCATTAAGTTCACGTTCACTTAGCCGTCATCTGCTTAGGTTTACTAAGCTGTAGACAAAAACTGTTCTTTGTCCCCCAATTCGGTTGTCATTTGAATGGAATAGTTCCTCAAGTGATTTCCTCAGGAAGGGTGCACTGGTGACACACCTTCTGAGTCCACACTTGTCCAAAAATATCTTTTTTTCAACTTCGTCTAGAAAGATCTTGTCTACGTAAGGGA